AGTGGGCCACCATCACCGCATCCCCTTGAAACGTCAGGGTGGTGTGCGATAAGGTATCGCGGCCGCCAAATGGAATGTGCGAATCCACACCCGTTCCGGACCTTATCAAGTCGTAAGAAGAGAAGGGGAGCTTTCAACTTTACGCGATACGTATGCAAAATACAAGCAGGCGGTGGCGGTGTGCGCTGCTGCTGCTGCTACCCTCTGGGGCACGCCAGCCCGCCACCGCGCAAGGTACCGCCGCGTTAATTCAGCTAAACGGCTGCACCCAGCCTTTGCCGGTGGTCGAGTGGGAGAGGGAGAGAGAGAAAAGATTGATTTATTGTAATAACTTCCTTTTCTTTCCACGGCTCTCTCCCCACCACCACCACTCGCTTTTCCGCAGCTGACTTTTGCTCGGCAGTTAGTCCGACTGACTGAAATGTCGCTATGCATATTCAGGAGAGCCTTTGCTGGGGGGCCCAGCCCAGCCCAGTCCGGGCCCAGCAGAGACGGCTGGGCTGCCGCGCCGGGGCCCACGACGCCTGTGTATCGGGCGTAAAAAGGCGCACCGCGCTCGCGATAAAAGCAAATTGAGTTGAATGCGAGATTTCTTTCCCTCCGGCACGACACCATACCGCCTGCCGCACTGCCAAACGAGCCGCAGCAGCAGCAGCTTCTCTCTCTCTCTTCTCTTTTTTGTCGTCGTGTCAAAGTAGCAGCACTGATGACGACGAGGTCGACCTGGTTGGTAAGGTTACTACTCCAACAACTACTTGCTGCTGCTACTGCTGCCACGACGGCACAACTACTACCAACCCAACGCCATAAAAAGGAAAATGATACCCGCGCGCCCGCGTCGCGGTTGGTGTGACGGAAAGGTACAAAAGACACTCGGCGAGGGAGATATAGACGACAGGTTTTAGGGGGCCCTATCGTGAGGGGGTGTTGTGGGCTCCTATAGAAAGGGGGGAGGGGGGAAGGTCGCACTTATCTCCTAAACCATCGCGGGGGGAGAAGGACGCGGGGGGGAATCAAGCTGCCGCTCGCGTTCTGACATTTCATTGCATTCTCTCTGCTCGGACGGCTACCTGCTTTAAAACATAGCGCGCTCAAGCTGCTCAAGGTGCTAGCCGCGCTGGTGGCGTGGCGGGCGTGGCGTGGCTCTTCACGGTTACATCAGGTCATTTCCTACACGCTATTTGGATCCGTGGCACAGCCACGGCGGCGGCCTGCTGCTGGCGATGGGGCAGCGTGCGGTCAAGAGAGAGAGAGAGAGGGCGGCCGCTGCTGTCAGTAAAACGAGATCTTTATTAGCGCTCCGGCCCGGGACAGCCACTTCCTCCTCCTTTGCCCTACGCCACCCTTTATATATATATATTTTTTTAACGTTTTATATTTTTAACGTTCACTGTGTCGCCTTACAGTTATAATTCGGCCACACGACACTCGAGCTTACGACCACACGTGAGCAAACGTAGTTCATTTTAAATTAGAAATATTATTAAATCAAAACAGTTGGGTTACTTGTAGTAGTTTCTTCTCATTTCTTTTTGTACTTTTTTAAATTTAAAATCTCTCGGCCATTATCTCCAACAGTGCTGGCAACACAACACCTTCGCTCACGCCATTTGCAATGCGAACGGCCCGACACGACCGGCTGGCGGCCGGCGGGCGGAGCGTCTCGCCGCGGCACGTGGGTGTGCTAGCGCCACGGCTGGCCAGATCTGGACTTGGACTTCGTTAGGAGAGGGGTTATCAGGATAGGAAACCATTCTCCATTATCTCAATTAGAACTCCTCGGCTGCACACCGCGCGCATCGCTTAGGCCCCCGCGCGCGCGAGCACACGCCAGCAGGCGGGGAGTGGAGTTGTCCCTATCCCACCTCCCACGGGCTGGGCCGAGTGTGTGTACGGGGCAATAAATGAGAAGGAGAAGGAGAGAGAGGCGCTCGCGCTCGCTCGCACTCGCTGCCCGAGCCCCGCGCGCCACCGGCAGCTACCAGCCAAGCTATACAAGCCTTTTTGTGACTGAAACAGTTGTCGGCGATCGAGGAAGCGAGATAAGACGAATTAGTCGTCGAGGTGGTTGGCGGGGCCACCTCGCTCGCTCGCTCGCCCGCCCCACCACCACCACCCCACCCCGCCGCACCCAGAATGTCATTCCACACAAATTTGTCCGGGAGGGAAATTTCCATAAATTAGTTGTCGTGCACCTCAGTCCTCCTCCGCAGCAGCAGCTCCCCCCTCCACCGCGCTGCTATCGACACGACGCATACCAGCCTGACCCAATTGTCTTCGAATTACGTCAATTACGACGGGGCGGTCATTCCATTCCGAGCGGCGGCGGCGGCTGCTGCTGCAGCGGGGCCGCTCACCTTATTGTTCGGCGAGGATATTGTGAGAAAGGAGAGGAGTGCGCGCGGAAGTAGAGGAGGAGCGAGGTAGGGACGAGGTGTGAGGGGAAGACGAGGAGGAGTTAGAGGAAGTCACTGGTAAAAAGTGACGAGGGCGCGTCGGGACTTAAGCCATTTTCACTTTTCACCAATAGTGAAGTGAAGGTTGGGTGAGGCGAAAAGGGGAGTTCGCGCGGAAGAGCAGCAGGGGAAGAGCAGTCGCGACGATGAATTAAAGAGCAAAGCGACACGACGCGACGCGCAGGAATCGGGGGGAAGAGCGAAGCGCCTGGGAGGTAGGCAACGAGGCCAGCTAGCAGACACGGGTGCGCGGCGGGGCTGCCTACCCGCGAGAAATAAAAAGAGAGACCTCCACTTTCCTCCTGGTCTCTCTCTCTCCCTCTCCCTCTCTCCCTCTCTCTCTGTCGGTAGCGGCACGGTCTGCAGACACGCCGCATTAGCGACCTGACAGCTGCGAGTGGAAGGCCAGGAGAGGTGGGGGGCGTCCCGCGCGCATGTGTGTGTGTGTGTGCGCCCGTGCAGACACGCGGAGGTACCCGGTAAGCGCAGCTCGGCGGGTGGATGGAACTCGTTAAAGCTGACGCCGCCGCCGCCACCGCTACTTCTCTTGCCTCTAGTTTTTAAAATAAGAAATACTTAATGGAGTGAAATAAACTCCCCTCACCGGGGGAGTCGCAGTAGTTACAGCCGTCAAGTCGTGGCGATGGGATTTCAATAAGGAGCTGTTGCACCGCATACGCAGTTTTAATAGTTCTGCCCGTACGAGGCCTCCCGTCGCTGCAAACGACGCTGCAGACTGTACTACTCAGGGCATTTAGCGCCGCAACGATCATTTATTCTTCTATCGGGGGCCATAAACGTTTTAAATTTCAACTTACGCTCCCCGTCTTTTTCCTCTTTATTTTTGTAAAATTTATTTTCACGATTTTTGCAGGGTGGCATGCCGACGGTTGCCGCTGGTTCCCGCGGCCGCCGGCTACCGCCGCCAGCCCTGTCAGTCGCGGGGGCCCCGGGGGCTGCCGCAGAGCGGAGGCCGCCGCCGCTCGCTCGCCGACTTGGGAATAAGCATGAAATTTGTGTTCGCGCCTCGGCAAAGAGCATCGCACCGCCGTCGGAGGAGGCAGGTCACGTTCGACCCGGGTCGGTACAGCCAGACCGTACCTCACACGGGCCCGAGCGACGAGCGAGAACACATGCCCGCACGCCGCCTTTTTAGACAGCCTCTTGTGGCTGGCATTATAGGGATATCATCCGGAAAGTACGTTATTCGCCGTTATGGACCGGAAAGTTTGGCCTCTGCGAGCTCTCTAAGCGCCTGGCAGGTAGGCACTATCGTGCCTGCAATACACGCGTGTAGTGCGGGGTGGCCTACCCTGAGCCTCGCAGGCGCCGAGCTCCCCGTATTTGCCGAATGAATCTAAAGGAAAACGGACGTACTTTCTAGACAAACCCCAAAGGTAAAAGTTTCAAGTTTCCCGTTTTGATAAAGATTGCGATAAAGCGACGAAGGGTGATTTTAGCAGATGCTAAAACCTTTGAACACCTAGACTAAACATAAAATATTTCCAAAAAAGGGCAAAAAATATACAGGCGGGTTCCGAAAATCACACGACTTCGGTAATGAGATTTTTGTAAATACCATGTCACTATATTTTTGTTATTATTATTGCATGAACTTGCGACCGCCCATGGTGGTCGTCTCACACATAGCCTCACACACACACGAATGAGACAAGGGATAAGACATTATTAGGAGAGATGGAGATTTTCGAAAGCACGTGTGTGTGTGTGTGTGTGTGTGTGTGTGTGTATGTGGCTAAGGGATTGGCCGAGATGCTGGCCGCGCGGTGGTGGCGGCCCCACAAGCCCAGCCCGGCCGAGGCGCGGCACCGAGCCAAGGCTATGATTTGACCGAACCGCTCACTTATTAACGTTTGCCGCTGCCCTGTCATTAACTCGCCGCTCTTTCTCCCTCTCCCTTCCTCTCCCTCCCTCTCTCCTCCTCTCTGGACCCGCCCTCCCCTTCCTCTCTTCCCCCTTCCTCTGCGCCGCCGCACCGCGCGCCCCGGCTCCGTATCGAAATAAATTATAGACATCCTATCATTCACCATGACAGTATTTAGACACCTCCGTTCTCGCGCCTCGCCTCCTGCTTCTCTCTCTACTTCTGCCTCTCTGTCTGTCTCTCTCTCTCTCTCTCTCTCTCATGCCCCCCACCCCTTTCGTCCTCCTCTTCTTTATTCTCTTTTCACGCTCTTTCGCGAAACTCAAGACAGAGTTTCAGTCTTTACGCGACTTTACTATTCGAGTGGAGAGACAGACAGA